GCGAGCGGAATGCGAGGTTACCACGCCCGCGTCCCGCTCATGTATATTGCAAGGAAGCTCTACGAGTTCCCGGCGGTAACCAAGGTTGACGGTTTACCGCCGGCTCCCAGTTGGAAAAAATCCCGACGGGAGTTTTGCATACTTTTGTTCATTTTAAAATTGATTTCTCGAAATTTGAAGAGTTCGATCTTATTCCCGCGCGCCATCTTAATCTCAGGTCGATTGGGCACATGCATGTGGGCGGGATCGTCTCTTTAGTGTCATCTAGGCAGGTGCAGTGGAATTGTACAGTGTTTTTATGTATACGTGCATGTGTACGTGCATGTGTATGTGCATGTGTATGTGTATGTGCATGTGCACGTGCATGTGCATGTGCATGTGCGTGCGGATGTAGAAGTGCATTTATGTGTTTGCTCGCGTGCTTATCGATTCATCTAGGTATATGCACATATGTTTTTCTGTAGTACCCCGCAGTTGCGGATAAGATTGACGGGGCGGGCGCGGTGTAGGTCGCGGGCGTGTCGCGGGCGGGTCGGTAGCGGGTCGCGGGGTGAGTCGCGGCTTGGTCGCGGGTGGGTCGGGTGTTATGCGGGTGTTATGCAGGTGGGTCGCGGGTAGGTCGCGTGTGGTTCGCGGGTGGGTCGCGGGTGGGTCGCGGGTGGGTCGCGGGTGGGTCGCGTGTGGGTCGCGGGCAGGTCGCGGGCGGGTCGCGAGCGGCTCGCAGGCGGGTCGCGGGCGGGCTTGCGGGCCGGGTCGCTGGCTGGGTCGCAAGTGGGGCGACGAGCAACAGACGACATCTAACGAACGATAACAGCAATCACAACGCGCATCAAGAACAAAATCAGCAGCAACAGCAACGCCAACAATAACATCAATCATTTTAGGGCGCCTCGCTCTTTTCTTCTCGCGCGCCAGTCAACGCATGCGCCCCGCGCCTTCGATGCGCGCCCTCTTCGACTTCGATCGCGCCTCGTTAAGGGAATCTCGCGCTTGCCTGCAGCGTGTATTTCGCGCTGCCCTGGCGGCAGGAGAGGAGAGGGCGCGCGGGGTGAAAGGGCAAGTGGCGCGCGGGTGGCTGAAGCGCGCGTCCTGCATGAATCGCGAGGAAGTCTCAATCGATGGCGCGATTCCCGCAGGCATTGCGAGGCAATCCTCGGCGAAAGCGTTGGCGAGGGCGCGGCGTCTGAGGAAATTGCGAGACAATCCGACGCGAGAGCGCGATTCCTGTATGAGTTGAGGGGGGGGGGCCCGTGCGAGAGCGCGATTTGGGAATCCCTTGCGAGGAAGTATCAGTCGGGGGCCGTTGGTGTTGTAGTTCGGCTCCCGGCAGCGCAGTGAGGTGACACCTCATTCTCCCGGGGGAGAAATCAGGGTGCGAGTTCCGGGATGAACGGTTTCATTTAATGTTGGAATGGTTGCCGGAGGGGGGGGAAGGACGCGCTTTCTTTGTTGTGTGACATTTCAGCAACAACAAGCATTAAGAACGAACAACAACAAACAACACCAATCAACCGCAACCAAGCACACCATACAAACCACCAACAACAGCCAACAGCAACAGCACACAACAAAAATACCACTAACATGAACCAAACCAGCAACGTCAACATCAGCAACCACAACATTCCGCGCCGCCGAACCCCAGTTTCACAACGCGCCCATGGGCGGCGAATGACCGTTCGCCCCCCCCCCTCTGTCTGATGTATGTATATGGTCATGTTCATGCGCGTTCTATGCATCTGTATTTGATCATGTATATTTACATACGTGTATGTAGAGGAGCAGGTGACTGTATATGTATGTGTCGATATACATGTACATGCGTATTTATACAGCCGTATGCGTATGAGTGCAGATCTACGTATGTATGAACGGATGTGTGCGTGCATGTATGTATGCATGTATGTATGTCTCGATGCATATCGACGATATGTTTGTATACATATTTATGTAAATCTTTATGTATATATATATGTATCGTGTGTTTGTGTAAACGTACGTATGCGTGTACGTACGTAGGTGTATATGTATATGTACATGTACACTGTACATATATATATGTATACATCTACAGTTATATGTATATATCCACAAACATATTTCTACACATACATTCGCACATATCTCTGCACATGTATGATATGTATCGACACGGGTATAGTTGTATACATATGTGTCTCTTCACAATGCGGTATTTGCAAGTTAACATATGGTATACTTTTTTTAGACACACAAGGGAATCCATACACACATACATATTTATGTATACCTGATATATGTATATATATGGAGAGATGAGAGGGAGAAAGAGAGAGAGAGAGAGAGAACAACAGAGAGAGAGAGAGAGAGAGGGGAGGCAGATAACGGCAATGGGATTACAGGACAGACACATAGAGATATCGAACAAAAGGAAAGGGATAGAGAGAGAGAGAGAGAGAGATCGATAGAGAGAGAGAGAGAGAGCGATATAATAAACAGATGAAAGAGAGAGAGAGAGAGAGAGAGATACAGCCAGAGTGCGAGAGAGAGGGAAAGAGAAAGAGAGAGAGAGAGAGAGCGAGATAGGGAGAGAGAGAGAGAGAGAGACAGGGAGAGTGAGAGGGAGAGAAATGGAGAGAGAGAGAGAGAGAGAGAGAGGGGGAGGGATATTTAATGAGAAAAAGAGAGGGAGAGACAGAGAGAGAGAGAGACAGGGAGATAGAGATAGAGATAGAGAGAGAGAGAGAGAGAGAGAAAGAAAAAGAGAGAGGAGAGACAGAGAGAAGAAATATAGACAGAGAAAGAGGGAGAGAGAGAGAGAGAGAGAGCGAGAGAGAGAGAGAGAGAGAGAGAGAAAGAAAGAGAGAGATAACTCAATAAACAACAAGAGAGAGATGCCGCCGCCGAGGGTCCCGTAGTCTCTCGTTGTGCTGTCCCGCGGGTTGAACAGGTGTAGTGCCCAGTGTCCAGTGTCCTCTGGGGCCCCTCTCGGGAGACTTTTTGTTGGGCCTCCTGAGCGCCTATTGGCGGCCTCGGACTTTCTCTAGGGCGGGTCTTGGAGGCCCTTCGGGCTGTATCGGGCCTTCTGTTATGCCGCAAAGTCGACCATGCCACAAGCTACCATTTGTCGATGGTCTTGGCCTTTTGAGCCAGCCGCTAGGCCCTCCCAGACAGCCCCAGGGGCCCTCAAACAGAGCTTCACGACGCTCCATTGGGGCCACTGAGAGTTCCTGATCCATGGAGGGGTGCTGAAGCGGTTGGGCGGGTTTGGCTTTCGGAACTCGCAGGTGCGCCTGGAAATTCCGCTGAGTAGCTGGTCTCGGCCGATCAGAATCCTACAATGGCTCTGACCTCCTATCTGCATGAGCTCTCGGGCGCTCCACCACGTGCCAGAGATGCGGCGGTGGACTCGCAGGGTCAGCGTAGACGCTTGCAGGGCCGACCAGCAGGGAACTGCACGTGTCTGGTTTGCAGGGTCTGCCAGAGTGCTTCAGGCCCCGTGGCTGTGTTGCCTCCGTCCATCCTGGCTCCGCGCGGCCTCCGGAGGAGGAGGAGAAGAGGAGGGGAGGAGGAGGGGGAGGAGGAGGAGGAGGCGGCGGAGGAGAGAGGAGGAGGAGGAGGAGGAGGAGGAGGCGGAGGAGGAGGAGGCGGAGGAGGAGGAGGAGGAGAGGAAGAGGAGGAGGAGGAGGAGGAGGAGGAGGACGGGGGAGGCATTCGATGGCATGCCTCGTGGCAAGAGGGGCAAGGCAGCAGCGAGCAGCGAGCGCGGAGGCTCGGCCGCGGGCCCCCCCGAGCGCCTCGGCGCTGCTCGCCCATCCCCGTAGTCGGGACAGCTTGCCGAGGCGGCGCCTACACCATCGGGACAGCTTGCCGAGGCGGCGCCTCCTACTCTTCAGCGTTGCGCGCAGTGCTGGGGCGGCTTCTGTGGGGGGAGACCCCCCACCGAATCGAGCGCTGGTCGAGGTGCCCGGTCAGCTGTGGCAGGGCGGCGGCTCATCCCACGTGGGGGGCACGGCCACGCTTCTCTTTCCTGCCGCGCGCGTGCTGACCAGCATGCGCAGTGCCACGCGTGGAAAGGCTTCTGCCGACACTGATTCGTCAGGACCGAGTTCTTTCCCTGAGGGTGGCTGGCACCCCGCTGGCACAACACACTGCACCTGCTGACTATGAACGGCCCGTCATCCGGTACGTCAGCGGCTGCATCCATCAAACATGCCGCAGTGGATCTAAGCACGGTGCCACCACACCGCCTTGGAAGGATCACATCTGGGTACACCTCACTGTCCTGACGGTGGACTTACCATACTGCTGCACGACAGCACTACACAACTGATGCGTGGATTTCCGCAACGTTGCCCCCGACGCTCACATCGCTCAATCCTGCCACTTCTCCCACCGTGCCGTAGCTTTTTTTGTCGCTCATCACTGCTCCACGACGGAGCGGCTATATTCTCAAACTCTGAGGCTCTTTCCCTCCTCCTTCCCTCCCTCTTCCTGTCTCCTTCCTGTCCCTCTCATCCCAGCTCGTACTCCTCCTCGTCCTTCTGGTCGCCCTCCCCGCTCCTCCCCCCTCCTCCGTGTGCTCCTCCCTCGCGCCCTCTCCCGTCCAGGTCGGCCACGACACGCGTCCGCGGACCAAGCAACCATCGGCGCAACGGGAAGGGCGGGGGTCGGAGGGACAGGGTGTCACGTGCGGCGCGCGCGCGTCCGGCCTGCCCTCCCCCCCCCTCCCCCCCCCCCCTGCTCCAGCACTCCCCTCTGCCCTCTGCTCCCATGCAGCACCGGCTCCAGCACTCGTCTCCGCCCCCTTGTCCGATCCAGCTCTCCGAGGCCCGACTCCAGCTCTCCGAGACCCGAGCTTCTCGGCGCTCTGGCGCCACCGTCGGGCTCTCGTAGGGCCGCCCCCCCCCCCCCCCGGGGCGACACACCAGCGCCTCGCCTCGCCTCGCCTCGCCCCCCAGCTCCGTCCGAAGTCATTTTGACTTCGGGCAGGGCCCGCTTGCTGGCGCCAGCTCCCCCCCCGCTGCCGACGCGGGCTCGCGCCCGGCGCGGTCCCGCGGCGCGATGGCGAAGAAGAAGCCGCACAGGAAGAAGAACAAAAGGGGGACGAAGAAGGGCGACAAGATCCATGCCGAAGATCACAAGAGCAGCATGACCATAATCTTTGGGATGTCCGCGCGGACCCTTGGGTTGACGCGGGGGTCTCTGGTGGCGCCTGCAGCGCCGAACCAGGACATCCTCGCGGACCTCCGAAGGTTCATGTGCATGCCGTTCTTTTTTCTTCTGTCCGTGGGCAGAAAGCGGGCAAGAAGGGCGAGGCAGCCGCCTACATGACCCGTGCGCAGGCGCTGGCGAAGCTGCAGGTGTCCCTCGCGGACTTCCGGAGGCTCTGCATCCTCAAGGGAATTTACCCGAGGGATCCAAAGAAGAAGCCTGCTGGCATGGACAAGACATACTACCACGCCAAGGACATGTCGAAGGCCAAAAAACCGCGCAAGCATGACCTCTCCTGGGGTGCGTGCGGATCTCATGGGCCGGTGCTGGGCCCCCTTCCCCGCACCCCGTGGGCGGCGCTTGGAGCGGCTGTGTGTGTGTGTGTGTGTGTGTGTTTGTGTGTGTGTGTGTGTGTGTGTGTGTGTGTGCGTGCGGTCCCAGCGCTGTCCCAAGGCATCTGCGCGGATCCCCCACGGTACATGCTTGTGCTGTTTTTCGTTCTTCCAACATCCTTTTCCTGACCCACGAGCCGCTGCTCAACAAGTTTTTCGAGCTGAAGACGTTCATGAAGAAGTTCAAGCGTCTAATGGGTCGGAAGGAGCGAAATCTTGCCGCCAGCCTCGAGGAGCGCAAGCCACAGTACACTCTCCACCACCTCGTGCGCGAGAGGTACAGCTCCTTCGATGCCGCCGTGAGAGACCTGGACGATGCCGTGAGCATGTTGGCGCTGTTTCAGGCCCTGTCCGCCGACCAGAAGCGCGACATCCCTGCAGAGGCGGTGGCCGAGGCCACCAGGCTCTACCAGGAGTTCCAGCTCTACGTCATCCGCGCCCAGGCCCTCCGGAAGGTGTTCGCCTCCATCTCGAAGAACAAACAGTGGCGCAAGCACGGGCTCCCGGAGTTCTGCGCGGATCTCCTGGATGGGCGCGCGGCCCCCCCCCCCCCGCGACCCCAACAAGTCCGCGCGCGGACCTCCGAAGGGCTGTGCTCGTGCCGCTCTTTGCCCCTCGCGCCGTCAAGGGCTACTACTTCCAGGCCGAGATCGGCGGCCAGGCCGTCACCTGGCTGGCGCCGCACCAGTTCGCGCAGGAGCTGCCGCCCGAGGTGGACTTCCGGGTGATGCTGACCTTCCTCGAGTTCTACCGCGCCATGGTCAAGTTCGTGAACTTCAAGCTCTACTCCGACCTCGGCCTCGAGTACCCCCCCAAGCGGCACACGGCCAAGGACAGCGCCTCCGCCGAGGTCGCGGCGCTGGAGGCGGAGATGCGGGAGGCGGGCAGGGCGCGGGAGGCGGAGGCGGCGCAGGCGGAGAGGGACGACGCCGCGGTGGCCACCGGCGTGGCGGCGGACTTCGGCGGCGTGGCGGCGGAGGAGGCGGCCGAGCTGCAGAAGCAGCTCGCGGCCTCCAAGCGCATGCGGACGACCTTCCGCGGCCTCCGGGTCTTCATCTCGCAGGGCCAGAGCAGCGGCAGGAGCACAGATGTTCGGAGCTCCGCGCGGATCTCGTGCCTCGGCTCTGGGCCCCCCTCCCCGGCGCGCGGAGCGCGCCACGGGTGGCGCTGGAGGCGCCGCCAGGGGGGCCTCTGGGCGGCAGCATCCGAAGCCCACCCTCGCGGATCAACGATCCAGGCAGCTCGGCAGGCGGCGGGGGCAGGGTTCGGACGTCGTCGACCACGCGGCGAACGCCCGAGCCCTGCCCCCCGCCCCCCGTCGCTTCCAGGGAGGCGGCGGGTCGGCGGGGGCAGGGCGCTCGGGTGGCTCGGCGCTCCGAACGGTTATACCCACGGGTCGTTGAGAGGAGAGATTCTTGAATTCCCAGATTCCGATCTATTTTAGCCGCTTTCCTACTTCAGTGATCAAGGGGCTTCCCATCTTTCCTCCTCTTCGGGGGGCGGACGGAGACCCAGTCCGCTTCCAACGCCTTCCTGATTCATGTTTCTGCTTACTTCTTGCGACCGATGGGTGTGCTCTCCAGACATCGGGCTGCTCCAATTTTTTCGATGCATGGGGCCCGGAGGTTCAGACCACTTCCCTGGGGCCAGTTTTTCGTCCCGAGTCGTTTTCTGACGCTCCCGAGGCCCAGCGAGGGCCCCCGGAGGCCGAAAACGGCAACAAGCCGCCCGCCCCCACGTTTCTGGAGCGTCGGATCTCTGGGTCCGAACGTCTGTGCTCGTGCCGTTCTCTGCTCCTCCGTCCCAATCAACCGGGAGGTGCCGCTGCGGCCCGCCTACTTCGCGCTGCTGTGCGGCGGGGCGGCCGAGGTCGGCTGGGAGCGCGGCGCCTCGGGCAGCGGCAGGGCCGCGCCGGGGTCGGCCTTCGCCGTCGACCACGAGAAGATCACGCACCAGGTCTGAGTCGGGCGGGCCCCTCCAGCGGAGGAATATCCAAAAACGTTCAGGAAACAGTCAAGGGACGATTTTTCGTTGATTGTCTAACTGTGAACGAATATTTTGTGACTTCTTATCGCTTTGCGCCCCGAATGCGCCTGTGGGGGGACCTGCCCGACCTAATTAGCACCAGGTCGTGGACAGGCCCGCGGAGCAGCTGGAGATCCGCCCAGGGCGCGAGTACGTGCAGCCGCAGTGGGTGTTCGACTCCTTCAACGTCGGCTGCCTGCTGCCCGTGGCCCCGTACGCGCCCGGCAGGTCTCTGCCGCCGCACCTGTCTCCGTTCGTGGACGACAAGGCCTCAGGGGGTGGGGGGGACCCAGAGCGCAAGCGTGCACTTGTTTCAGGCGATCGCAAACATGGATCAAGGGGGCGTGGATTAGCGACGGGTCCCGTTTCCATGGGAGGTCGCGGATTTCCGCCGCCGAGCGAGGCGGCGCATGTCGCATGTTGCGCCAAATCCATGGATCGCTAATCCATGCTTGCGCGCCCCCGCTTGTTTCAGGTGTCGCTGCAGTCAGGGCGGATGATAAGGAGCGACTTCCCGAGGGCATTCTTGCGTCTTTGTCTCGTCGGCCCGTTCTCGGCTTTCGCTGGCCAGCCCCTCGGGGTACCTTTGGGGCGCCGCTCGAAAAGTTCAACTTGGGCTTCGAGGTCCTTGCGTCCTCTACCGCGCGTCTTTAGCACCAGTTCCACAGTAGGGGTGTCCCTGGCTTCAGAGATGTCCGGAGATTTCCTAGGATCAGGAGGGGCAAAAACACAGACATAAATAATCGTCAGGAACATATAGGAAAACGTGGGAAGTGGAGGGGAAAACGAAAACCCAGAACATATACAAAATTACTATGAGTCCTGGGATTTGTGTCTACCTATTTGTGTCCCTAGGCCTCTTTCAAAGGATGCTCCCACGGCCTCCAGCGACGCCAGCGCGTCGCTCAAGGTCGAGCTGCCGACGCTGCTCGAGCTCTGCCAGCATCGAACGATCTCGGCTGGTCGGAGAGCGGCGATGGCTCTATGCTGAACGAACCACGCTGTGTCATAGACCAACGCCCACGCCATCGCGACGTGATCCCCACGTCGCCCACGCAGGGGCCATTCCGATCCGATCGATCCGATTCGATCTCGACTTCAGTCAGTTCGATCCGAGTCGATTTCGATCTCCCAGCGATCCGATGTGGTCCGATGCTCTCACATGGCGCTGTTGTGCATCCAGGTGCAGCCGATCTAATTCCCTTTCGACCCCGTGCCGAGGGGACGCACACTCCGACTCGATCCGATTTCCCGATTCCACGCTGACTGATCTCGCCCACAAATCTCCCACACCCTCATGCGGCCCCGCCACCGCAAGCGCGCGAAGGCAGCCGCGCACCCCGCGCACCGCGGGCGCGTTTGAGACAGGTGTGGCCTCCTCCTCCTCCGCCTCCTCCTTCTCTCTTCCACCTCCTTGCGTTCTTCTTTTTCTCCTCCTCCTCCAACTCCAACTCCCACTGCAGCTCCGATTCCAACTCCAGCTTCGTTTTCAACTCCAGCTCCAGCTGCTTCTCCTGCTCCTCCTGCTCCTCCTCCTCCTCCTCCTCCTCCTCCTCCTCCTCCTCCCTCCTCCTCCTCTCTCTCGCAGCCGCCTCGGCGGTGCCCACTCCGCGCACGGGCGCGGCCGCGCCCGTGCACGCGCGTGCCCCCCAAGCGCGCAGGCACGGGGTCCTCGGGACGTCACCGGTGGAGCCGTTCCCCTCCTCCTCCTCCTCCTCCTCCTCCTCCTCCTCCCCTTCTCCTCCTCCCCCTCCTCTCCCTCCTCCTCCTCCTCCTCCTCCTCCTCCTCCTCCTCCTCCTCCTCCTCCTCCTCCTCCTCCTCCTCCTCCTCCTCCTCCTCCTCCTCCTCCTCCTCCTCCTCCTTCCCCTCCTTGGCAGTTTTCGGCTTGCAGGGGCCCTTGCGAGGCCCCGAGGCCGTCAAAGTAAGCCCCGGGGGCGGGGTCGGGACCTTTGGGAACCCACGTCGTGAGGAGCCACGGCGTCGGAGGGTCTGGGAAGGTGCAGCCCAAGGGGGGGGGGGGTTCGTGAGGCCAGGGCGCTCCGATGGGGCGCTCCAGGGAGGGCCTCGCGTTCTTTTTGCAGTGGGGGCGCGCGTGCCAAGAAACGAGTTGGATTTTGCCAGGGTGCCCTGGGTCTCTTGGATTTCGATGGGCCCCCAATAGTATCTCGACGGTTTTCGATCGGCGCATTCGGGTTTTCACGGGGCAAGTCGCGGATGTCAGGGTTGGGTTTCTCGCGGAGGCTTCTTGTGGCCGAGCCCCCATTGTGTTCGGCGCTTTGACATTGGGCGGAATGGGGGTGGGGAGGCGGGGTCTCTGGCTCCGGACCTCTGCTCGGGGCGACTGTTTGCAGCACTGGGTCCCATGAGGGGATACTCCACCTGCTCGAAACAGACGCCCCAAACAGCCAAGATCTACTCCAGGGCTCCAGAGGAAGAGGGGGGGTTTGGGGGCCTGCGCCGATCGGCAAAACAATGAATCAAACAACGATCACTATCCCGAACCAACATAGGGGAGGGTGAGGTAGAGGAGCGGCCGCGCCACTCAGTAGATCAAGTAGGACGCACTGGGGACGGTGCACCTTTCGCGTAGCGTAATACACGGCGTATCTTGTCCCTAGCGCTGAGGACGTCGTACGCTCCTCCAACTGTCGGTAGCATGTATCAGTATCGAGTACCTGTTGGTCGTAGTAGTATTTCGTAATGAGCGTCATCGTCGGGCTCTCCACGCGCGTTTACGACGTCCGTAGCGGCTCTGTAGCGTGCGTTTGCTGATGTCCCCAGACAGGCCGTAGTTGTTGACGTAGTCCTGCGTGATGGGGCTGCCTTTGGGATCCAACACGTCCACGTAGTACTAGGGCCACCTGTGATCGTGGGCTGGTAGTGGAGTTTCGTGAATAGCTGTGCATGTATAGGTCAGGCTCTATGTCGTACTGTTGCCCATTAGGTTGGCAACAGTTGCTTTCTTGAGATGTCCACTTGTAGAGGTGCTTTTGTCGATCGCGAGGGTGACGTAGTTGTCCTTGTCGGGCATCCAGGGCAGGTAATAGCCGAACCTTGCCACTGAGACGTACGGCCGACTCTCAGCCAGTATATGATTTCTGGTAGCGTGCAAGGACACATTCCTGATCGATACAGGTGGTTCTTGTCTCTAGTGTGGTCCTTCAGCTCGGTCGTCAATGGTCACTTCATGTGTACCATCTGAGCATTTGGTCTTGTAGATGGTGATCCGCTTGTTTTTCAATTCCTTGAAGTAGTGACGCGGACCGCCTTGATATCTCGGATCGTAAGGTATAGTCTCCCATCTTCTGCAATGATAACCTTTGTCACAAGTTGCATCCACTTGTTTTGATACGGGGTGTTTATCAGCCGTATATCTGCCTCCGCAAGTAGGTACTCTCTTGGCGTAGCATTGATGCGTTTGTAGTTCATACCGTCCATGATGTACGTATAGCGTGTAGTTTCAGCTTTGAGCCGAACAGCTTGTAGGAGGATACTGTAACGGCTCAAGTGAGGGAATGCGCAGGCGGGTGGGTGGGTGTAGTACAGTAGTGACAGTTGATGAGCGTACCTTTGTGGTACCAGTACATGCCAGGTATTATCAGCTATGCCTACTGACGTTAGCATGCAACCGTCTTCCTGCGGTATCAGTGTACGTACGGGTAGCAAACCTAGTACTCCATGATGCTAGGTAATCTTTGACGCAGTGTCTGTTGGGAATAGCGCTTTCCTGTGGTGTGCAGTGGAAACACGAGGCCGTTGTCCTGCGGTGTCAGGTACCCGTGCAAGTAACAGCAGAAGTATTACAAGACGCCTGGTCGAAGATGGGGTGTGGACGGGTTGGTGATGAGGTAGTCCTAAGACGCCTGGTCGAAGATGGGGTGAGGACGAGTCGGTGATGAGGTAGTCCTTTTTGCCAGGTAGGGCCAGCGATGGGTACACGCCTCGGTAGTCCGTGCTGGACTATTCCGCGCGTTGGCGCTGCTGCGCACCTGCGGCAGGCTTGCGGGTGACCTCCTCGTCGTTGTTCTTGTCCTGGTACTGGTAGTCCCCGATGGCCTCGCCCCCGTTCGTGGTATCCTCAGGCTTGAACGTTTCCTCGAACGGATAGTATGGTCTGTCGTCGTACTGCAGATTGTAGCCCTCCGCGTGCTGGCCGGGCATGGGAATGTGCTTCTCGATGCTAGTGTCCATGAAGCGAATGAGGTCGAACTCCATCTGCATGTCGTTGTCTTTTCACTGGTACTCGTCGACGTACTTGTCAATAATGCAGCGGATGCGGATGCAGTAGTGGATTTCGTTCACCTCGTTGGGCTCATATAGCGTGTAATGCAAGTTGGCTTGGGTATCGACGATGCGCGACTGCATGTTGTAGTTGTAGATGACCATCAGGTCAATGTACTTCGGCAGGTAGTCGTACTTACATGCGAAGGGCTTGCTTTGCAGCTGGTGCTTGAACAGGGCCACGTCCATTTGTACCGCCAGCAGGGACCTGGATCGCGATGTCGTTCACCTCGCCTTCGGCTCGAGGTAGTACTTGGCGTGGACAAGCTTGGCGTAGTTCTTGGTCGTCGTGCACATGTACCAGGAGTGTGGTGCGAGGGATTCCGGACTCAGTGGTACTGGCTCATTCCCGATGTCTTGTATCGATGCTGGGCGCCTGACGATCGTGCACGTCTTCATCACGTAATCACCCCAAGCCCTGTAGAAGCGCAGCAGCTGGTTCAGGTACCCCTCGATTTAGTGCTTGACGGCGTCGTTGACGTCGACAATCTTGTAGGAGGTCATGTCTTTGTTGCTGTAGCGATCTTACTCTTGCGAGTGCCGCTTGTGGTCGTAGTTGTCCACCGTCTTCTTATCGGCCTTGCACAGGATCGCATCTGCGTCGTAGATGCCCACCTCCACGTGGAGCAAGTCCTGCGTAGTACCGTTGACTACCTCAGAAGCGTGATACTTCACTAGGACAGTCATTGTATTTAGCGCAGGGCTCGCGGTGTGTTTGTAGAAAGAGTCTGTACGAGAGTGCAGCTCCCTTCGTAGAAAGCGGCAGCGGATATGTGATGGTACATATATTTGATGCCCGATCAAGTTTGTCCCGTGGTGCTCCGTGGTAGGAACCATGTTTGATACATAAGGGTACGACTGGTGATGCAGATGATGTAGGCGGGTGTGTCCTGTATGGGGCAGGTCGTAGTATGGCGATAGCGTTCTATGCAACAGGCGTGCTATCCTTTCTTTGTCGTGTGTCGTTATCTGCAATCTCCGTGTGTGTGTGTGTGTGTGTGTGTGTGTGTGGATTGCTCTTTCTCAAGAGCGCGTACGCGGCGGTGTACCTTTGTAAAGTCTGTCAATTGTGCGGCCAGCGAAGTCCAGTTGCATCTGGCGTTGTACATCGGTTTTGTAAGCTAACCACTCCAATTGCTTGTGTGTATACTCTGGCGCTTGTCCATGATGCAGTCGTGTAGTCGAGGCGTCCTTGTACACCTTGCTGATAACTGGGCATAATCTGGGGGGGGTACTTCTTGAGTGGCGCGATGTTGAAGTTGCCAGTGCGATTGGTATCCAAGGCTGCGAGATGTCCTTGTCGGTGATTGCAGCCTCCTTGGTTTTCCTTCTGCGCCGATGCGCCGGTTCCCCCTGTAGGTTTTCGCATAGCAGCGCGGTAGGTCTTTTTTTGCCGCTGCATCCAAACATGCACTTGTCTAAACTGATCATGCTAACTTTCTTGCATGAAAGGATGGCCCTCGTCTCGATCCTCCTCCTCCTCCTCTGTATTCTCAATGCCGATGTGCATGGTGCCCTCCATGTTGGGGGAGATCTATGTATCCAGGTGCGCTTGCACTAGTAGAGAGACACGGTGCGGTGGTACTTTGTCGTTGCCAACAGTTGCGTAGTAGTAGTAGTAGTAGTAGTAGTAGTGGTGGTGGTATTTGTAGTGGTAGTAGTAGAAGTAGTAGAAGTAGAAGTAGAAGTAGTAGTAGTAGTAGTGGTAGTAGTAGTATTAGTATTAGTAGTAGTAGTAGTAGTAGTAGTAGTAGTAGTAGTAGTAGTAGTAGTAGTAGTAGTAGTAATAGTAGTAGTAGTAGTAGTTCTACCATGCCTTTAAATTGCACAGGGTGCCCGCATTTGTGTTCATCGGAAGAACCATTTCCCTGAGAATTCCGTAATCTGCATTCCTGAGGTCGCAGAGTGGTGGAATTGCAGTAGTACGCGTTGTACAAGCCAGCGAATGTACCGATCTCACGACATGGGTAACTATTGTGGTTCCTCTGCTTCTCCGACCTCCGCACATGGAATCCGTGTACATAGCTCTGAGCGTATCGTTCAGCTTGGCCCTGATGTACGCGTAGTGGTGCCTCTCAATGTTGGACCCTACTAGGATGGATCGGTGGTATTGAACATCGCTATGCGTGCCCTGGTTCTTGAACACATCCGCGGCTGTTCCTCCTTTGGCAAGTAGTGGGTCTTGTAGTAGTAGTGCTATCTTAGTACGGAGTGGGTGCAGGCGTCTTGCCATCGCATGAGGTGCGGCAGCCGCAAGGTCGCCCCGAAATCCTTCAGGTCCTGAGGCTCGGTCCCTGTCGGCTTCTGCAAGTCGTGTCGGCGTGGGTTATGGGTAGTACTTGGCATCGCTGTAGTTCCTGAGCTCTTCCTGTTGATGGAGTACACGCCGAAGGCAGAAGTATTTCTCCTCGTCTGTTGTTTGGCACCCGGTGGGCTCTTGCACGCCGGCGATGCTTTTGGCCCGTGGTGTGTGTGATCTTGTGCGCCGTCGTCGAGTGCTTGGAGCGCAAGGTCTCTTTCAACAATGTCGCTGGTCGGCGTAGGGCGTTGCTGTGCCGTCTGCTTCCTCGTAGACCGCGATCTGGTGCTGGTGGTAGTCCACGATGTCGTCGTCTTCCGACATGTGTTCAGGTGTGTCCCTCCTCTGCGGCGGGTCCTTCTCTTTTCCCTTCCCCTTGCATGCGGGACGATTCGCAGTACCTTGGCCTGGGGTTGCTTGGACGCGCGTGTGGACTGCCTCTGCTGCGCTGCAGGCCAAAAAAAACGTTTCACCGTCGAACATGTGGTGTACCTGCGGGGTCTTCTTCTTCTTCTTCGGCGACGAGCGAATGGGGGACGTGAGGAGAAGGCCTTCTCGGAAGGCGGCGGGACTTCTCCCCTCGCGCCTTCTGAGAGGTTTTATGTGTCTTGGGGAAGGCTTCAAAAACTTCTCAGGAGGCCAGGGGACTTCCAAGCCTCCTGAGAAGGCCTGCCCCTTCTCACTTTCCTCCAGGGCGCGCCGCCGAACTCAACTCTCATTCTCCAGGGTATTGAGGTCAGAGTCCGTGTCGATGATCTCGGCTAAGGCAGCCTCGATTTCGTCCTCTTTGTCACCGTAGCTGGCCTTTTCGTTCCGCACTGCAAGATGTGGCGCCCATAATGTCCTAGATTTGATGCGGTCTGGTGGCGTGGTAGGTGGTTGTGTTCGGTAGCAAATCATGGGAGCCTGTTATATCTTCTTACTTCCGTCTTCAGCGTCGATTAGCGTCGACTAGCGTTAGGAGTCGATGAGGTAGTGCCGATCTAGCGTCGACCAGCGTCGATTTAGCGTCGATTAGTGTCGACTCAGCGTCGACTAGCGTCGATTCGCAAAAGCCGACAATATGGTATGGGAGGCTCCTATGAGTTGCCACCGAAGTTGTGGTAGAGGGGCCGTTGGAGCGATCTCCATGTGCTGGGTGGCATGTTGCTCGTGGGGGCTGTTCGTCGGGCGTTTTGGCTTTGGAGGATCTTTGTCGCCACCCACCAAACCACTCCAACCCAACCCGACGGCCCCAAGTTGCCCTCCATTCCCAATGTGTGGGGGGGGGGGTCGGGGAATATTGACAACACACATATGGAGCCAGTACCCCCCCAACCCGAAATTCGGGTCTTCGGGTTGAGTTGGGTGGTCTGGCAGGTAGCCACCTTGGTCAAGGTATTGCACGTTCCATCTAGATATCGTGTGGGCCGATGTGGATTTGACCTGTGCCCGTCTTTCTGTCGGTCCACCAGGGGTACAAGCCAGTTGTTGCGTTGCGACATCCTCGCTCCTGTCCATAATGTGAGTAGATGCAGGCGCAGGTGCGAGGCTGGAGGCGTCGTGCATCGCTGCCTGGAATTCGGAGTGTCTGTCTCTCGATTGGCCTTGGTTCTCAGCTGCGTTGGTTTCCGATGTGGGCCATCGCTTGAGCCTGTTCCTCCGACAGGGCGCTGTACGACGTACGAAGTGTCTGGTACTGGTTGTTCATCGTGTCATTGCATACGCTCCCCGGCTTGCTACAAGTATCCAATCGTATCGGCATATTTCTGGCCCTCTCCTTGGAATAATTGGGCATGCTGAGCGTTGTTGCGCACGTTAGTCAGCCTCTTGCTTCGCTTGCATGTGTTCTTCCAGTCGTTGTTGCATGTATTCGTGATGTATATGTGGTCCAGCGACATCATGTAGCTCAGTTCTGACAAGGGTCGAGTTCAGCTTCATGTTCTCGATCTGTTGTTTCATGGTAGCGTTGTCTCGGACCATGCAGTCCTCGGTGGTGGTCATGTACTTTATGATGCCGTCGAGCTGCTGAAGCTTTCAATCAGCTTGTACGAGTGCGTGCTCGTTCTGCATCTTCTGCTCGCAATCGAGGTTCGATTCCCTTTGCTGCTTCTCATCCTTGATGCAGTCGTGGTTGCAGTTCTCCGTGAGTAATGCTAGCCTCTTGTTGGACTTCCTCAGCCCTGCTTGTTCTTTGGACAGTAGCGGTTCCATTTCCACCAGGTCTTTTCGTAGTGCGTGCATTTCATGGGGTTCATCTGTTGTACTGGGGACGCTGTTGATGTAGGTGCGCATCTTGGGCCAGAGTATGTAGCAACTTCGTTGTTGAGGTCTTGTTTGTGGCTCCACACGGTCTGTCTTCACCGCGGCCTCAATCTCGATTTGGTAGGTCTTGGTACCGTTCAGCTCGCTTCTCAGCCTTGTCATGCGCGTGTTCTGTAGTAGGGACGTCTGCGCAGCAAGTTCCTCTTTGAAGTTCTGCCTGCCAGTCTCGGTCTGGTACTCGTATTTGGCTCTGTCGCTCTGCAGTTTCTGCTCGAGCTCCTGGCAGGCTTCCTGTGGTACCGCGGCTTGGTTGTTGTGGCTGCCGAGCTTGGCAAATGCCTCACCTACCGTCTTCTTTCTGGTCTTGACGGGGTCGCGTTTCGTTTCCGGGGGGCTTGTAGTCCTGTGCCCCAGCTGGGGCTCCGATAGCTGGCCTCGGCGTGCGTACTTTTCTTGGGCCCGCTATGGTACCTTTGAACTTTCTCTCTGCGCTTCTTCGATTTCTCTTATGGTACTCGTACATCTTCTTCTTCGATTTTCCGTATTTCTTTGATTTCTTTGTACTTCTTTCTTTGTATTTTCTTCGCGGAGCTTGTCCTCGTTCTTGGTCATGTCGTGCTCAGTCTTTTTGTGTCCTTCTTTCCAGGTTCTCCTTCGTGTTCATG